TAATAATTATCTGCCTTCGCTGTTTGCATGTGATCATCTTTTCTTAAATGTCACTGATTGCACAGTCCTTGTTCCATAGAGAACGCAGAATATTGATTGCTGCAGACATCTGTCCTTAATATACCCTGTCTTGAATTTCCCAAGTTGACAGTGATTTTGGTCAACAGCGGCCATGATCATTCACTCCTTCCCTGTTTCATAGGGAAAGCACAATGCTGGAGGCATCTAATTTTGTAAAAATGTTAAAATTAGCTCTGCATTCATTTTTTTGCTCACAGCAATTTGGGGAAGCATGATCATCTTCCTAAGCTGCACTGTGACCAAATCACCATATCTCACAAATATAGCATCATACCTGCTATCAAAGTTCTGAGTATCATTGGTTTGGCATGGATGCTACATCTTAGGAAGCCTTAGAGCATCTTAAAAAGACATCTTAAAGACCTGGGCACATTTAACGCCTAGAAGAGATGACTGAATTGAGCTTTGTTAGTCTGGTGCTGCCACAGTTCATTTTGTCAGATTTCAGGGTCAAAAATGGAAGCTAGGGGTGAGTCTTTGGAAGGATGGAAAGGGAAGAATAGTGGGGGAGGGAGGCGTAACTACTTCTGGCCATGAGCCAAGTCTAGCACCTGTCTTAAACTTGTCTGACCAGGTAATGTATTTCTTATTTCAAAATGAGCTCAAGAGCATGTACTGGCTCACCAAATTTCTTCCTCATTCCCCTTCACTTGCTCTGTGCACAACAGAACCACAACAAATACTTTATGCTAAGTCAATGAGCCTTGGCTCCCATAGGAGGTAGAATAGAGGTGGTTCCTCAAGCATTAAAGCTACTACACACTAGTCATGGGCCCGAAATTTGTCTCAACTGTTGGATTTGTGTTTCTGTTTTGTTCCATCTATTTGGATGGCACGAAATGGGAAGGCCCTTCCTGGAATAAAAATGGACTCGAAATGAAAGGCAGACAGGAGCTGGTACTGGCTCTAAGCCTGCTTTTTGGATCTATTTCTACACTTGTAGGCCCAAAGTGCTGGGTCCTGGCAGGGCCTGCAACCAAGCGCTGAGTAAGGAGTTCTCCTTACTCAGTGCTCAGCTGCAGGCCCTGCGAGGCCTGGCCACATAGGCTCAAAGCCTGCACCCATAGGCCCGGGTGCTTTGGGCCTATGGGTGAATCCCTCCCCAATAATGGGACTGAAAGAAAACAGATATTTTGGTCCCAAAAACAAAAATGTAAATCTGACCTCCCGATTTCGGGAGGTTCAGATGAAATGGATTGGGACCCCGGAGATGAAATGGATGAAGGTAAGCTCCAAATACACATGACTACTACACACACACAAACCATTTTTACTCCATTAGTGCTGAGATTTGTCTCCTTATTTGGAGACATGGAGAAACACAGCAATTTTCTGGGACTTCAGCTTATGCCTTGAGACTTGCAATCTTTGATAGCGCTCATTCTATATGAGAAGGGCTATCAGAAGGCTAAGGGTAAAGACCAATTTTCTCTGAAAAGATGATGGGATCATCCTCATTAGATGCCTTTAATAAGAAACAGGACTTTCATCTGTTGGAGCTTCTGTAGTTCTGGATTTTCTCCATCAAGCAGGAGGTCAAACTCCATGGCCTGCTAGACCCCCTCTGACACTGTGATTCAATGAACAGACTCACTTCAAAGGTTCAAGCTGAGCAAAGGCAGGGGAGTATTTCTTTTTAAAATACTGGTAAATATAGCTGTTATGCTGTGCCAAAATTCCCTTGAAAAATCTGTCGATTTAGAAACTGTTCCAAAATTTCTGCTAAGAACTATTTTTCTCCTCCATTGTAAACAAGTCACTTTCTCCATTCACATTTCTTACAATGAATGCTCAGATTTGGTCATATTCTGAAATAATTATTAAGCATTTCTAGGAACCTCTTTGAATCTGTGAAACATTTTAATTTCAGCACTAGAATCCCAAAAGGGAATGTTCATGAATTAAATAATCTTCACCTTGATCTTTCAGGGAATAGCTGAGAACATGGAATCAGGTCTTTTCATGTACATCTGATACTCACTTGGCTCCCCAGTGAAGTACCTGGATGACTTGGATTCAAGGTCCTCAGGCATTAGGCAGGCTGCCTAAAGGCCTACAGTCTGTCACATGAGACTGTTGGACATTGAGATCTTTTCTTGGTTCCATCCCAACTTCATAGGAAAACCTTTATTGGTGGCTGTTTCCAGACTATGGGACTCGCTTCAGAAGGTGTCTAGGCTGCCTTGCTGTTTGTTGTTCTTCCGCTGGTGAATAAAAACCTTCTTATTTAGGCTGCCTTTTGGTAATGGGCCTTGCCTACCCCATTATCAAATCTGATTTTAATGACAGGTCTGTTCTATTTTATTTTATTTTATTGGTGCAGTTTTATATTGCATTTTAAAATACTTATGCATGTATTCATTTTAAAGGCTCAATTACATTCATTCTACTTCACAGTAAGCCACCTTGAATCGCATTCATGGGAGATAGGTAAGACTGAACTAACCAACCAACCACTTAAGTCTTTGAATGCCTAACCAGATCTGTTCCCTCTTGCAAAAGACAAGAACCTGATCACATTATCTATGTGCAGGTGAAATGATCTTTGTAAGGGACTATTTGCACACAACTAAAAATAGTTTACTTGTGTAAAGCTATTACCGCATCACTTCGAGTCAGTTTTCACCAAATGTTCAGCCACACTAGGAAATTAAAGTATACTTCACAGTAAGACAAGGGGAATTTGTCCCTCTCCAGATATTAATGAACATCCACTCCACCATTTTTCACAATTATACAGGTTGGCCAGGTATCCTAGGTACTTGAGTCCAATAACAGCTGGATGTAAACAGGTTTCTAATTTATGCTGTGCCTTAAGACTGTGAACAGTGTAGGTTACTCACCCAAGGGGTCATCTTATTATTTCTTAGATAAAATAAAGATGTGATAAAGTGCTTTCATTTTGGTAAGGCATACTGCCCTAATGCAGTAAGACAGCCTGTTTGATTCTCATGAGATATTTCTCTTTCCGTACAAAACCGAAATAGGAAACACTTTTTAGGAGGCACAGGGCAAATGGCATGGCACACAGCTCTAATCTCTTGTACTTTTCTTGCTAGGAAGAGTCCAGAGGTGTAGACTGAGAGGCTTGGAGCACTAGAGTTTATAGACTTTTATACGCTCCTTGTCAAAGGCACATAATAAAGCTAATTTGGTGCAGATTTGGTTACTGACTAGCTAGGACAACTCTTGGGAGTGCTTTTTTTTTTTTAGATCAATGAGAAAAGGAACCTATAAATCAGCATTTCTCAACCTGGGAGTCTGGACCCCTGTGGGTGTCATGAGGGGGTCTCAGAGAGGCTGCCAAAGACCATCAGAAAACATATATTTCTGATGGTCTTAGAAACTTGTTAGGCAGAGAAGGCTGTAGATCTCTCCTTCTGCCCTTCCCTTCCTTTTTGGAAACAGTCAGTGAATCCTCCCACCAAAATCCTTCCTCCGCTATGACTGGCCATCCTCTCAACTGGCCTCTCAGCCAAGGGGAGGGCTGTTTCTGAGACTCCAAGCCAAGGGGAGGGGAGAACTCAGTGCATGGCAGCATGGTGTGCATGTGTAGGTGTGGGAGAGCATGTGAGGCTGGAGGCAGGCTCGCACCAGAAAGTCCCTTCAAGGCATAGGGGTTCTGTGTGGGAAGTTTGGCCCAATTCTATCATTGGTGGGGTTCAGAATGCTCTTTGATTGAAGGTGAACTATAAATCACAGAAACTACAACTCCCAAATGTAAAGGTCGAATTTCCCCAAACCCCACCAGTATTCACATTTGGACATATTGAGAATTCATGCCAAGTTTGATCCAGATCTGTCATTGTTTGTGTCCACAGTACTTTCTGGATGTAGGTGAACTACAACTCCAAAACCCAAGGTCAATGCTCACCAAACCCTTTCAGTATTTTCCGTTGGTCATGGGGGTTCTGTGTGCCAAGTTTGGTTCAATTCCATCACTGATGAAGTTCAGAATGCTCTTTGATTGTAGGTTAATTATAAATCCCAGCAACTACAACTCCCAAATGACAAAATCAATCCTCCCCCCCCCCAACCCCACCAGTAGTTGGAAATAATCAGCAAGGTTTCAGATTAGGAAATCTAGGTTCAAGTCCCTGCATAGCCATGAAAGTCACTGGGTGATCCAATAATTTATCCATGAAACTCAGTGATCCTCTCAATGAAATTCAATGACCGCTCTCACAGGGTTGCTGCTATGAGGATAAATTGGGGGGAAAGATTGCCATGCACACTGCCTAGAGGATAATAAGAGAGGATAGATATAAATGCAACTTCCAAAGAAATAAGCATTAAATCAGAACTCAATAAGGACTATGCATCTATATAATTAAAGGGCCATTAAAGCAGAGTGAAATCTATGCATTTTAAAAAGACACTGAGATGTTCTCAAATAGCCACTCAGTTCTTCCTTCCATTAAATCTGGTTTTAAAAGCATATCTAGTTGAGGCAAAGCAGAGGCAGACATTCCAGTGCAATGTGTTTAAAATCAGCCTGACTGTAATGCATATCGGCGTGTGCCTGAGCCTTGAGCTCAACAAAGGGTGAGTTAAGGTCTCTAACCATCAAAGTTGCTGCTTGTGTGAACCACTGTGTAAAACATGTTTGAAATAAGTGCTCCTGGTGCTCTTCTATGGGAGTAATTCACAGTCATTCCCAGTTCCAATCATTTGATTTCTTCATTTTACAGCTGGAAACAAAGAATCTGTTTTCATTCTCGCTTTCTCTTGCGCTTTTGAGAAGAGTAATTTGTGTATGTGAGTTCCATTAGCTGGAAATAACAAACAAAATGCATCACTATCCCTAAACCCACTCCCACATACTGGTAGAGCTGGCTGATGGTATTTAAGGCTCTCTTGATATAAGACCTCTTCTGCTTCTGGTTCTCTGCTGAAAACAATTCATATATAACTCTTACCTCGGTTCCATCTAGGGGCCACGGTGGCATGTGCATTGTAATATAACAAGAGCAGCAGAACTGTCTTCCAGCACATCCTTAGTTTCCACAAGATTGAAGTCTGTCTAGAGCGTAGGCCTTCTTTTCCCAATCCCTCTGAGTGTCTTGAACAGCTGGCAATTTTCTTTAAAAAAATCTTCCCCTCGCAGTTGTAAAAAACCCTCTCTAAGTGTAATTTTCCTGACACTGTCAAGTAGCAGCACCTCGTCTTCCACCTAGTCTCTTTGGGATCAAGGAATTCATTTGCACAGACTGGCTCTGTTTTATATCCACATCTGGTATGACTCACAACTGCATGCGAGCTTGTTGGCAAGCTGTGGGGTTATAAATATCATTACATTTTTTGGAAGTTCAGTTCCATTCAGTAGTTGGGCCAGCTGGAATTTCCCTGGGTCAACAGACACTAGTAGCAACATTAAGAGAACACTATTAAATCTTGAAGTCTGTATGCTTCTATGCACACGATGAAAGTATGCCTGTGTCCCTCTAGTGACGTATAGAATTTCTTGGATGCGTAAATGAGGGAGTGGAACACAGTGATTGCCCAATTTTTACAGTGTTTATTTGTTTAACAGAGAAAATGTGAAAAGGAAAAAAGTCATTTAGGCTGAGATTGGGTGGAAGATGTACAGAAATTAATATGTTACTGGAAGAGATGGGCTTGTAAAATAACATTTAATAGTAAATGGGATACATTTATAGAAAATATAATGAATAAGGATGGTCATAATCCTTTTCACTGCATGGAAGGAATGGATATGATCTACCCAATGTGAAGCATTTTAAAATCTAGTTTAATTCCAATGGAACATATTTATGCAAGTGCCCATGAACAAAATTTCAATTTATTTAATAGAATTTCAAATTTGGTTGCATGGCTCTTACATCCTTTTTTAGTATGACTGACATAGGGTAGTGAATTCTACAGAAAATCAAAAATAGTTTTTGCTGGGAAATGTGAGCGATAACAATTGATCTATCAAGCAGAGTAATCTCAACCTGCCTGGGCAGGAGTTAAACAATCTCCAATTTTGCACATATATACACCCATCAAGGGTCTAGCAGAGAAGAAAGCTTAGTCTTTGTATCACACTATTGATTTGTGTTTAGCTTATGGTCTACTAAGACTCCTAAATCTTTTCCTCATGTACTGTTGTCAAGCCAGATGCCACCTATCCTGTATCTTTGTATTTCATGTTTTCACCTAAATATAGTACAAAAGACCCACATATTATGCAAGGAAACCATTCCGGGATGATTTGTGTAATATGATTTTTGCATAATATCTGGAACTTGGCTAGTCTGCTGAAAGCTGAAAATGCTGTACAATACACAGTCAAAATATTCCCTCCTCCTGCTCACTTGCTGCCACACAGAGGGGAGAGTAGCTGAAGTGAAGACTCACATGTTGAGGTGCTATCTGTCAATTCTGAGCTCCTCAAAAACTACCCTCTCTTGGGTGACAAATATAACAATGTGGAAACCTGGCTGTGTTGAACCATATGTGTCTCTACTGAGAAAGGAGTCCATTCCCTTCTTCTGCAGAAAAAGTGACAGATGTCTAGTTGCACTTCTCCCAACTGAGAAAGGAATCTGTTTCCTTCTTCTGCAGAAAGAAGTGACCCAAGCCCAGTTGTGTTTCCTTCCTTGAGAAAGGACTTTATTGGTGGACAGAAACACAGACAGGCTTTGGTAACTTCTTTCCACTGAAAAAGGAGATGGAATCCTTTCTTGGGACAAGGAAGTGTATGGCTCTGCAATTCAAAGGCCATTGAATGCCATTGACAATGAGATGAGTAAGCATCTGAAATGAAGGTCATCAAATATATTCTCAGAAATAGTAACTGTTTTTGTGCCTAGATGGATCCAGTGTGAGCAATGCCTGTTAGTCTCAGATATCAACTGTAGATGCATTGAGCCCAGACTCAGTTCTGCACCTAACTTGTAAATTCTTGCCTTTTTCACCTAGTGTCAACTTGGCCTTCTTGTAATGACTTCCTGTTATTATTATAGTAGTTATTATAGTAGTTATTGTTGTAATAATTTCCAATTTACAGTAAACCTAATATGGCCTATCTCAGGGTTTTCTTGACAAGATTGTGCAGAGGAGCTTTGCCCTTGCCTTTCTCTGGGGCTGGAAGAGTGTGACTTACTCAAGGCCATCCAATGGGTATTCTGGCATCCTAGTCCAACATGCAAACTATTACACTATGCTGGTTCAATTACGTCACACTGGCCCACTACTTTACCAGTCTCAATAGTACCATACCAATCTGCATGCAAGAGTGGTAGTGGAATGAGATTTCCAGTTCTCAGAGGAGGACCTTCGGTGCCCTACCTAAGCAAAATAATGTACAGAAAACTTTTTGTAAAATAATAAAATTTGCTTCCATTTAGTAACCCCTTTTTGGATTATGCTTTAAATATGACCTGTGTTTTCAAAATCACTACCCTTACACATGGTCAATATTTTCACCAGACTTTCCTCCACAGCTGCAAGTTGCTTTCTTGGTCAGTATATTGTAATTTAGAGATTTTATTTTGTCCAAAAAATACATGGCTTGCAGATATCTACTTTTCTTGGGGCTAGTCCTAGCCCTGAGGCAGAATATGACCAGCCTTAGATATTGGCTTCCTGAAGGGGCCATTGACATGATGTATAGCATAATTCCAAAGGTATTTTGGTGGGTGAAAGATGGAATTAAAATAAATCTGTTGGGTAGAAAATTGGGGCAAGGACAGAAAAGAGGAAACCAATATGTATTGCAGTAAGTGCCCCAAATTGGCAAAATGCACTCCCTCAGTTTGCCAGCTGTGAGCAGTGTGATGGATTGGGGACAGATATTCCTTTCTACCCTAGGTGAAGGCATTTTGAACAGTGCAAATATTCTCTCTAAAACCCTCTACTTGTTTTCAAGGTTTTGAACACAGGGCACAGAGTGCCTTGTACATTAAAACATGGGGCGTGTCTCACGTCTACCATCATAAAGCTGCCAGCACATGTAGTGCACGTAGCTCATTCAGGGTTGGCAGTTCCATGTAAACTGGCAAAATGATCCTCAAGCCAACAGTTACTTTGGGAACACCCCATGTGAATAGCCTTCTGTATGTCAATGCAGTAGTTGCTTGGCTACATAGCTCAGCATACCATCTTGCGGTGTGGTTCTATTTGGGGAATCCTCAATGAGGTGTGTGCCGTATAATGAAGAATATGCAGCCCTGGAAGTATGAAGTTATAATGTCTAAAAATAGAACCAGAGAAACTTTTCTATGTGTAGGTTGCCAGTGGAAATTTAGCAGTATGATGGAGCAAATGTTCCTAGAAGGACATGTGATGTTACTGTAAAATATTCCATATCCCACTCATAAATATACTTATTAATAAATATAAGATTAAAACCAAGAGGAATAGTTTACAGGTTTATGATATAGTTTTTCTGTTGAAGTTAATCTTACTTGGATCTTTCAGCCTCCTAGATGCCATCTTGACCTGTTTCTATGTGGTAAACAAACTTTGGCTGTACTAATATTTTGGACTTCAGTTCCCAGAAGCACCAGCCAGCTTTACCAGATGTTGGGGATTCTGGAAGACGTAAAAACTAAATGAAAGACCAAATATTTGAGATCCATTCTCCAATATTTCACCATAGTGTTTTCCTATCTAGCCTAATATTGTGATAGTTTCTCAAAGTATCAGGGACAGCTTTTTCCTGTCTGATCTTTTTTTACTGGTGATGTAAAGAATTGAATCTAGATGCTCCTGTGTGCGAAGCATGTGCTTTGTTGCTAAGGTATGGCTTTTCCTCCTAAGCTGCTTGGAGTTCTTTGTTAGAAAAGCAACATCCACCCTTTCACTGTTGCCTTTCTGAAAGCAACTTCATAAGAACAACTAGATATTTGCACTGTAATTGGTCATAGGTGAATTTCATTTCCATTCATTCTCCAAAGCTCTTCTGCTATTTTGAATTTCAGGTGGTTCCCATTGTGTTCCTGCTGTTTACATTTATTATCGATTGTTTTCTTTAATCAAAGATCTCAGATGTTTTCACATGTGTTCTTCCTCAGAGGCAAGAAATCATGAAGACTGTAACTGAATGGATACATCTCTATTCTTGTACATGATTTTAACTCAGAGTCACAATGCATCACTGTTCTTATGGTCTTAACACCATAATACTGAACAGACAGTAGAGAGCAATTCTTTGGAAGGGAACTTGTAATCCTTCAGTTCCTCTGTTGTCTCTTTATTGCTAAATTTAACTGATCCTGGACTGCTTGTACCTGGAAAGAATTTAATAGTACTATTTGTAAGTTGGAATAGACTTCTTAAATCAAGACTGATAATAATTTGGATGCCAGGAAGAAATTCTGAGATCCCCCAAGAGTCACTTCTTTAGAAGTTTGATGCAACCTATCAAAGTCAAGTATTTGGCATGCCATTTCTGTCTCTAAATTCTTTCCCAGATATCTGGAATCATCTTGTGAACTTCTCAATATATTCTTTGGGCTGACAGATTTTCTTTTGAAGGACAATTTGGATTTACTTTCTTGCTTGAAGATTTGTTGACTAGCTGAAAGATCATAAAGTTTTGGTGGCATCATGTTGCGAGCCAGGAACATCATCACTGGATCTGGTGAGAACCATCCTCCTCCTCCTCCTCCTCCTCCTCCTCATCATCATCATCATCATCATGTTTTTACTTGCCTCTCCTTGCGGCCTGAGGTAGGGTACAACAGGGTTAAAATAGTGAGATATAACACAACATTATGAAAATACATATTTACAAGAGGGCAGAGAATGTCAATGTCATGTCTTCTAAGCTACGTTGGGAGCCTTTGTGGTTGTAGGAATGAGCATAAATATTCTAAATAAAATAAAATATAGTATAACCACCACATTTATAGGAGATATGATCCACAGTTCACATAGATATGCAAAACTGTGGATAATAGGAAAGCCTACTGAAATCAAGGGCTTTTGGAACAAGATACTGGAGGACCAAGAAAATCCCTAGGGAGGATTTAATTTTTGGGATATGAATTAATGAAAAAATGTTACTGGGCCCATGGATAAGGAAGTTGTACTATAAAATAAATTTGCACAAGCATTTAGATAAAGTGCCATATTGCACTGCATTGTATGGCAAGAACATGGAAAAGTCTATCTCAGTTGAGATATGGAATAGCTGGACACATTAAAGACTCAGAACTTTGAAAATGTTACTTTTTTGACCACAACTCCCAAGTCCTCACAGCCAATGGTCATGCTAGCTGCAGGATTCCAGGAACTAAACTACAAAATAACTTTTCAAAACTCTGCTTAAAGTATTGGATTTGGATTGATAAAGATGTCAGTGCCATGTTCTCCTATATTTCAATATGTTGAACTCTCAAGTTCTTTTCCTTCTGAACATAAAGACATCTGCAGAT